TCTTTNCGGGGAGTGCANCTACAAGGATTAGCCCGCATAAAATTAACTAATTTAGAGAAAGTCAATGAACTTCACCTGGGCGAATATCAAGAATTAGTAGAGAATAAACTGAGTGAAGAATTATTAGAAGAATTAACCGAAAAATTTGTCCGTTATCTGCCGGACATTTTAGAAAAAACCCNATTAAATTCGGTGGATAAATTACATGCTACCATGATGCGAGGAAACTTAGGTAGCCTAATTGATTTGGTAGCCCAAAATAGTCGGNAAATTGACCCTTTAACTAAATTAAGACTATTAGCCTCTTTGGACTTACGCAAGCGGCTAGAAATTTTAATTAGTTTGCCCGACCGGCAAAAAATTGATAAAGAGATTGAAGACAAAACGCGGGAAAAAATGAAAGATGAAAATGAAAAATATTATTTACAAAAGAAGTTAGAAGTTATTCAAAGTAAGTTAAANCGGGAAATTGACCCTTTAACTAAATTAAGACTATTAGCCTCTTTGGACTTACGCAAGCGGCTAGAAATTTTAATTAGTTTGCCCGACCGGCAAAAAATTGATAAAGAGATTGAAGACAAAACGCGGGAAAAAATGAAAGATGAAAATGAAAAATATTATTTACAAAAGAAGTTAGAAGTTATTCAAAGTAANTTAAAAGAAAAAGGGGGTCAAACTAATGCGGAACTTCAAAAATATTTAGAAAAACTTTCCCACGGAAATTACCCGGAAGAAGTTAAAAAAGTAGTTTTAGAGGAAATAGAACGCTATGAACCTCGCTCCGGCGAAGCCCATGTTATTCGACAGTATATTGATTGATTGGTCAATTTGCCGTGGTGGNAAAGAAGCGAGGAANNTAAAGACTTAAATTTGGTTCGCCAGAAACTTGACGAAAAACACTATGGTTTAACCGANCCTAAAAATGAAATCGTTTGGCACTTAGCTGCNCAGCAGCAAGCCAACGAGCCGCTAGGAGAAATCTTGCTTTTAACCGGTCCGGCTGGAGTGGGCAAAAGTTCTTTCGCTAAATCGGTAGCTGAAGCCGTAGGACGAAAATTTGGTGATATTTCTTTAGGAGGAGCCTACGATGTAAACTTAATCCATGGTTTTATTCGAACTTATATAGGTTCTGAGCCGGGGCGTTTAGTGCAAATACTAAGAGAAACCGGTGTANTTAACCCGGTAATTTTAATTGATGAAATTGACAAAATAGGTCACGATAGTCATCGAGGTAGTCTCCTTTATGCTTTGTTAGCAGTTTTGGATAGTGATCGAAATAAGAAATTTGTTGACCATTATTTAAAAGTTCCAATTGACCTCTCCCAAGTTATGTTCATTTGCACTGCTAATAGTTTAAATTTGCCGCGACCNCTTTTGAATCGGATGAAAATAATTCACCTTTCTTCTTACACNGAATTGGAAAAGTTTCAAATTGCTCAGAAACACCTCATTCCCAACATTTTAAAAAAGTTTAATTTTCAAAAGGGCGAAGTCATTTTTCAAGACCAAGCCATTATGGATATAATCAAATATTATACTCGAGAAGCAGGCGTGCGTAAACTAAATACAAATATTGAAACCATTGTTAAAAGATTTAGTGAACAATTTATTAAAAAAGAGCAAGAAAAATTAGTGGTTGGTTCCGAAAACTTAAAAGACTATTTAGGGAAAAGAAAATACGAATTTACTGAAAAATTAAAAACTCCGCAAGTGGGGGTAGCGACCGGCTTAGCCTGAACTGAAAATGGAGGAGACATTTTGCCGATTGAGGTTAATCTGGTTCCTGGNAAAGGAAATCTAGGAGAATTAACCGGCAGNCTNGGAAAAGTGATGAAAGAGTCTGCCCGAGTAGCATTTAGTTATGTTAAAAGTTATTTGGAAGAAAAAAAAGAAAATTTTGAAAAAGAACTGGCTCTGCTGGAAAAGCGGGATATTAATATTCACGCCCCGGAAGGAGCGGTGGAAAAAGAAGGTCCGAGNGCTGGAATTACCTTGACTACGGCTATTCTTTCTGCCTTAACCAACCAAAAAGTTTCCAGCGAGATTGGAATGACCGGAGAAATTACTTCCAAAGGCAAAGTTTTAAAAATTGGCGGTCTGAAAGAGAAACTTTTGGCAGCCTATCGAAGTGAGTTAAAAACGGTTATTGCTCCG